TCATCACCTTTCCAGTTATACCAAACCATATGAATCAGAAGTTAATGAAGTATGTTCTTGAGGCACATGAAATGAGTGTAATTCACCTTCGACATTCACACTCACAACCATAGTTGAGGGGATCTCTTGAATATATTTAGCAATCTACTCCCCGTTATTATCTCCATGTTGCCTCTCTAAAGATTATCTTACTAAATTCATTAAAAAGTTATTTATGAACTCAAAAGGCTTTTAAACAGAACTTCAATATGTCATCACCAAAACTCCTTTATTTAAGGGTGAGAGTCAAGAAAAATTATTGCATACATACACCGCATGCAGAGATGCATGCGGTGTTCAATCCTGACCGTAGATCACAGTGATCTACGGTCATGAGGTATTTCGTTGAGCCCCACTTCTAATTTTTTTTTCAAAAAAAATTTGATTGCATCCTGACCGTAGATCATCGTGATCTACGGTCAGGATCGGAAACCGTATGCATCTCTGCATGCGGTGTATGTATGCAATAATTTTTCGAGAGTCAAAGGCTAAACATGTGAGAGCTGCGGCCTTTTACTTTTCTAGCTAATAACTTAAAAGCAAACTCATAATTTGATGTATTGTATGTTACTCATAGTCAAATGTACTATATGGCCACTAAAAGTGGTCTATTTAAAACTCTTAGAAGTAGTTTTTAGTGGAGAAAATTGATTAGGTTTACTTTTAAGAGAAACTCATTATTTGGCTCTCCCTAATAGACGGTTCATGACACTAACCATCCCATCTAAATTAAAAATAAAAGTTTTAATAAATTATAATATTCCCTTTATTAGATTATTTATTTTTTCATAAATAAAAGAAATACTTGAGCTAGAGACATTGGGTCAATAGGTTCTCCAAGCAAGGATGCTAGATGTGTGACAATCGACAAACATCATGACAAGGGGATGTTGATCGAAATCAAGATAGAAACTCACCCTTGCCCTACTTGCACTATTCTTTATTGACATCTTTTCTCTCCTCTCTCTGGGTTAATTCAACCCCAGTTCTTCAACTTACACTAAAACCTATTTCAACTTAGAAAAAATATTGTCGTAACTTGTGGTTAGTAATATTCATAATCTTTGGTGGATGAATTATAACTATCAGAAGCAAACTATGATACTCACAATGAAGGAAGAAACTTGGTGTTAAACTTTGGAAGAAGGCAACCCGCCCACATTTGTAAATCGGTCATGATCACTAATGTATGGGGAGGTCACTCTAACATCAATATTATAATAAATGGAAGCATTGATCTAAATGCAATAAAAAAAGGATAGTAAAATCCACCATTTTTTTTACTACCAATACATGAAAATAAGAATGCAATAAATCTCTTGTACTTTTTGTAAACCATGATCCAAGGATAAGAGATAATTACTTACTAAATGTAAAATAATAATATAGTGAAGTCACGTAGATCAAGCGGACTAGCAAACAATGGGTTGACTCTCAAAGTCACCCACTCAACTTGATGGGCACTCACCCAACTTAACGGGAATTCACCCATCATAGAGAGGACTCAGCAAGATAAGAAAGTACTCACCCTTTTATAGGCAGACATTCAAGCCACTGAAGAAATATCATTTAGAGATAATGACTCCATCTAGTTGACTAAGTTTTCAAAATACTTACATAGCACAATAATAATCCATTAGCATTCATTGGAAGTTAATGAAGTATGTTCTTAACAATCTTAATCACCAGACTATCTAATGATAAGAGTAATACCAAACCATATGAATCAGAAGTTAATGAAGTATGTTCTTGAGGCACATGAAATGAGTGTAATTCACCTTCGACATTCACACTCACAACCATAGTTGAGGGGATCTCTTGAATATATTTAGCAATCTACTCCCCGTTATTATCTCCATGTTGCCTCTCTAAAGATTATCTTACTAAATTCATTAAAAAGTTATTTATGAACTCAAAAGGCTTTTAAACAGAACTTCAATATGTCATCACCAAAACTCCTTTATTTAAGGGTGAGAGTCAAGAAAAATTATTGCATACATACACCGCATGCAGAGATGCATGCGGTGTTCAATCCTGACCGTAGATCACAGTGATCTACGGTCATGAGGTATTTCGTTGAGCCCCACTTCTAATTTTTTTTTCAAAAAAAATTTGATTGCATCCTGACCGTAGATCATCGTGATCTACGGTCAGGATCGGAAACCGTATGCATCTCTGCATGCGGTGTATGTATGCAATAATTTTTCGAGAGTCAAAGGCTAAACATGTGAGAGCTGCGGCCTTTTACTTTTCTAGCTAATAACTTGAAAGCAAACTCATAATTTGATGTATTGTACGTTACTCATAGTCAAATGTACTATATGGCCACTAAAAGTGGTCTATTTAAAACTCTTAGAAGTAGTTTTTAGTGGAGAAAATTGATTAGGTTTACTTTTAAGAGAAACTCATTATTTGGCTCTCCCTAATAGACGGTTCATGACACTAACCATCCCATCTAAATTAAAAATAAAAGTTTTAATAAATTATAATATTCCCTTTATTAGATTATTTATTTTTTCATAAATAAAAGAAATACTTGAGCTAGAGACATTGGGTCAATAGGTTCTCCAAGCAAGGATGCTAGATGTGTGACAATCGACAAACATCATGACAAGGGGATGTTGATCGAAATCAAGATAGAAACTCACCCTTGCCCTACTTGCACTATTCTTTATTGACATCTTTTCTCTCCTCTCTCTGGGTTAATTCAACCCCAGTTCTTCAACTTACACTAAAACCTATTTCAACTTAGAAAAAATATTGTCGTAACTTGTGGTTAGTAATATTCATAATCTTTGGTGGATGAATTATAACTATCAGAAGCAAACTATGATACTCACAATGAAGGAAGAAACTTGATGTTAAACTTTGGAAGAAGGCAACGCGCCCACATTTGTAAATGGGCCATGATCACTAATGTATGGAGAGGTCATGCTAACATCAATATTATAATAAATGGAAGCATTGATCTAAATGCAATAAAAAAAGGATAGTAAAATCCACCATTTTTTTTACTACCAATACATGAAAATAAGAATGCAATAAATCTCTTGTACTTTTTGTAAACCATGATCCAAGGATAAGAGATAATTACTTACTAAATGTAAAATAATAATATAGTGAAGTCACGTAGATCAAGCGGACTAGCAAACAATGGGTTGACTCTCAAAGTCACCCACTCAACTTGATGGGCACTCACCCAACTTAACGGGAATTCACCCATCATAGAGAGGACTCAGCAAGATAAGAAAGTACTCACCCTTTTATAGGCAGACATTCAAACCACTGAAGAAGTATCATTTAGAGATAATGACTCCATCTATTTAGTTGACTAAATTTTCAAAATACTTACATAGCACAATAATAATCCATTAGCATTCATTGGGGCAATTTATTATTTGGTGCATGCATTGTAATAATCATATTATGATTTATTTTTTCTTCTTCACTTTATTGACATACACTTTTCATGGCCCCCAAAGATTCTATAAATGCAAAGTTAGAGTCTTTTCTTTATATATAGAAAATAAAAAGATAGCAAATACCATTCTTAGTACATTTTGTGGAGAGCAAGACCCTTCAATGTTTATCTCTTATCCTTCTCTTTATCACCTTTCTTTCTCCTAGCGACTCCGAGCTTCTAACTGTTAAGTAGCATTCTAGCATGGATACAACAACAAAATAACAGATGAAGAAATCCGCGATGTTTTCAAATGCCACGATCACCAGTATCTTTTAAAAATAAAATTGAACCATCAGTCATTTAAGGATTTACATTTTCATTATCATAGCAAATCTAAATAAATCAAACAACCCAAATATGCCTTCGACAAATTGGAATCAGAATCCAAAGAAACACGAGTCTAAGAAGAAAATGTTCACATAAACATCATTGAAACTCAAAGGTATACAAACACACAAAAGAAAGCAGTCCAAATCAATAAAAGAAACTTGTTGGTTCTCTAAATTTTTGCATCACTTGAAGCCAATTCAAAATCAAACTCACTCGCTCCACTACAAACGCTTAATCATCACCGAACGGATATTACGTGTGAAATTTTCACATGCAAATTGATGATGTTATGATAAAAATCATCACAATAACACCACAATACTATCAAATTTATATATATTTGCACGTGACAATAGGACCTATCTTGAAATGAAATGAATTTAGTCCTGAATTTAACTTGGATGTAGGATAAACCTTGGCGCACGAACTGGATTGAGATTTAACAGAACCTGCCAAATAGTTTTAAGATCATGTTTTTTTTGCCAGTCAGCACCTTAATCAGGCATCACCGTCCTTCTCTCCCATCTCCGTCGCCGCTAACCGGAACCTCATGACATCCTCCACCGCTGCCTTCCTAAACATTCCCACGTCCGCCGCCCCAGCCACCATATGATATCCCCTCAACTTCATATCCTCCGGCGGATCAAACGGCATCGCAAATCCCGCCAGATACGGCGTCGAAGCCATCTCTTCACCATCCTTCCTCAATCCTAACACTCTCCTCTCCACCTCCCGCAGCATCACCCTGACTTTGCTGTTTCCTGGATCCCACAAATACCCCATGCTAGCGCTCAGATCCAACGGCCCCATCTGCAAGCAATCAACTCCATCAACACCCGCGATCGCCTCGATATTGTTCGCCGCCGCCACACTCTCAATCTGGCACATAATCAACAGATCGTCTTCGCAGCAATTGAGGTAATTGTCGTTGATTCCGTATGCTGAGGCACGGATGAGGGGATGAGCAGAACCGCGGACGCCGCGTGGGGGAAAGCGGCAGAAGGAAACGGCAAGCTCGGCAGCTCGGGCATCTTCGATCATCGGGAACATGACGCCCTGTGGACCGAGATCTAGGGCTTTTTTCGTCCAGGTTGCAGAGGTTTCAGGGAGGCGGATGACTGCTGCAGTGCCGGTGCCGGCGAGGGCTCGGAGAGAGGAGAGGGCATCGGAGATGCCTCCAGGTCCGTGCTCCATGTCGATCACTACGTAGTCGTAACCGGCCAGGCCGGCAATTTCAGCGAGGGTAGGGGAAGAACTGAGGAGGAAGAGGCCATAGAGAGTTTCTCCGGCGGTGAGGCGGGATTTGAGGGAACGGATTTTGGGGAAGAGGGGAGGAGAGGTAGGGTTGGGGAGGGAGGAGGAGATGGGTTTTTGAATTGAGGGGAATCGTCGATGGGAAGGGGAAATGGAGGTGAATATAGCGTTTCGGCTATGGCGATGACAGAAGGTAATGGGGGGAGTGATTTGGGCGCTCATGGTCATGGATTTGGGGGAAATACAGGCAAACTTTGTTGGGCCTGCTACTAAGGCGAGGGATGCTATTGTCGCCATTGATGACCTTTGGTTACAGTGCTTCTTGGAAACAAATCTGCAGGACTAAAAGGGACGCTTTTCTTATGTATTTAGATGTCTTAGGTCTGTTGGGGGCAGCTAAAGCTTATTCGCCTTCTGCTGTTAAGCAGTATATCCCGATAATCTGCTGATGAGCAGCTGATTCGGATAAGCTGTCTGACTATTTGGTTGACGCTTTATGAAAAACAACTGATTCTGAAAGATTGACTATTTTGTCTTTGTTCTGAATAAACAGTTTAGCTGTTTGGTTAGTGTGTTTTGTAAACAACTTATTTGGATTTTTTTTTAATTAAATGAATAATCTGTGCAGCTAAAACTGTTCTTTTCTCAACAAAATTAAAGATCACTGTTTATACAAGAAAATACCAAAAAGTTGATATATAGTTATATAACTAAAACATATCTGATCACATCAAACGAATATGTTACACATACAAAAGTTAAATGCACCTGTATATACTACTACAAAGTATAATAAGAGCTCATAAAAAAGAAAAAATAACATGTTTACACATATTGCACTTTGATATTTTAAATTTGTGCATGGCTTTAAACCTATGTTTAGAAAGATACATTTTACTTTTAAAAATGATAGTAGTGTTATTTTTTATATAATTTTAAAGATTTTAATGTTATGTGTGTAAATATGAAAATTTAAGAGTGAGATAATATATGTAAATAACATATAATTCTTATGTATTTATGTATCTCACATAAACATTCATACATACCTTTCAATTTTTGTATATTTGAATATCTAATTCCT